AATAATTAGATTTTATTAAAATTAAAATGTTTATTCCTCAAAAGACAATGTTAAGACAATGCAAACACAAGCTGCAGACTGGTAGAAATATTTGCAAAACACATTTCTGACAAAGAACTTGTATATAAAATATACTAAGAACTCAAAAAACTCATTGACAAGAAAATGATTCAGTTAATAAATGCACAAAAGATCTAACCGGCCACCTCATCGAAGGCATACAAGCACACAAAAAGATGCTGAACATTGCTTAAAATTAGAGGGCTACAAATTAAAACAATGAGAGATACCACTATACACCTATTTGAATGAATAAAATAAATGGACAATATCAAATTCTGATGAGAATGTAGAACAACAGAAACTTACATTCATTCCTGGTGGGAATGCAAAATCTTACAGCCACTTGGTAAGATAGTCTGGCAGTTTCTCCCAAGGCTACAATATAATCTCAGAAATTCCAGCATTCATATTCCTAGGTATTTCCCCAATTCGGTTGAAAACTTATGTCCACATAAAAAACTGCATGTGAGTATTAATAGAAGCTTTATTCATAATAACCAAAAGCCAGAAGCAACCAATATGTGCTTTGATAGTCAAAAAGTATTTATAAAATAGTGGTATATTCATACAATGGAATATTGTTCACTGATAAAAAGAAATGAGCTATCAAGCTACAAACAGCTGTGGAAGAACCTTAAATTACTGAGTGACAGAGCCAGTCTGAAAAGTCCCCATGCTGTATTATTCTGATTATATGATTTTCTAGGAAAGGGAAAACTATACATAGTAAAAAGATCAGTGATTACTTGGGATTCTGGGGAAGAAAAGAGGGATGAATAGGTGAAACATAGGATAGTTTGGAGTAGTGAAGGATATTCTACATGATACTGTCAGTGCTAAATAAGTGACAATATGCATTTGTCAATGCATACTGCATTATACATTGCACATTTCTATGCATTTGTACATATAAACATGTAATACAACATAATAAGTGAACCTTAACATAAGTAAATTTAAAAATATCATTGAGGAGTATGAGGGACACCAGTAAAGAATACAGAACTAATTTAACTGTATTAAAAATATATGAAACAATTTCACTGAATGGGGTGGGGGAAAAGTAAGTTACCGTAGTAACTTTGGAAATGAATGGAATCTGTAGGACTAAAAGCAAAAGGTCCCATACACTGTACCCTAGTTGACAAAGATATTTCCTATGGTAGTAGCATTTAATTATTCTGATACTCTTCTACATGTATACTAGAAGTGAACAATTATATAAATGAGTGGTGGTTAGTAGGAGCCATATTTCTCACTGTTCGGGTGGAAATGTACAGATCAACAAGACACGAAGCTTCAATAATCCATGCAGAAACAGATTCAAGTTAGAGACATTAGTAAGAACTCACGTTCAGCTTAATATAGACAAACATGGAAATATTTATAAATGTATACATATACAGCTTAGCATACACACATATATTTTCATTGCTCTGTCCGCTTAGAGGCCCTAAAAGAAATGATACATCAGAAGCAAGGAGTATACCCAGCATTCAGATCTTGCATTCTAATATTCTCCAATAAAAGGAGCCAGAGCTTCTTAGAGATATGGATGGTTCTAGCACTGGAGCAAGAAATATACAAAATAAGCCCCCAGTATCTTACAGTGTCAGAAAGAAAAGAAGTGCTAAACTAATAATAATCATTATCACAACCACAATAGTGGTATGTAAAAATGACACCCAAAATATAATATTCGTGAATCCATACTGATGTAAAAAATGATTGAATGAAATAATAAATGGTAGAGAAGAGACAAATCTCCCATGTAGAAAAATCCAAATAAATTATGTAGACACTCCGGCTCTAGTAACACAACTCCCTATTCCTTAAGTGTGGCTTACACAGAGCTCCTCCCCTCCAAAGAGCATGGTGTAGAAAGGGGACAGAGAGTGAGTTTACAATGGAGAAACTTGCAAAACACTACTTCAGCCAATGAACAAGGTCAACGCCTTAATTTCTTAATTACATAGAAAGTATGTAACTGATATGAGATGACAAATATGGTATTTCACTTCTGTGGTCTTTCTCCTAAAACTCCAAATCTCATCTGATTGAGACAAACATCAGACAAATTCCAATAGAGAGATGTCCTGCAATGTAACTGAACAGCACTCCTCAAAACTCTGAAGGTCATCGAAAACAAGGACATTCTGAGAAGCTGTCCACAGCCAAAAAGAGCCTAAGAAGACATGACAACTAAATACAATGTGTTACCCTTGATGGTATCTTAAAACAGAAAAAGCACACTTGGTAAAAACTAAAGAAGTTTAAATCAACTCTGGACTTTAGTTAATAATAATGTATCAATGTTGGTTCGTTATTTTAACAAATATACTAATGTAAGATGTTAATAAGAGAGGAGACTGTGTATAAGGATGGAAAACATGGGAACTCCTACTATCTGCTTAACTTTTCTGTAAATTTAAAACAGTTTTTAAAAAATAAAATGAATGTATGAATTATAATAGTAAATCATGGTCATACATTAGAATATTTGAAAGTCATTTCTTTTTTTTTTTTTTTTTTTGAGACAGAGTCTCGCTCTGTTGCCCAGGCTGGAGTGCAGTGGCCCAGTCTTGGCTCACTGTAACCTCCCCCTCCCAGATTCAAGCTATTGTCCTGCCTTGGCCTCCTGAGTAGCTGGGACTATAGGTGCACACCACCACACCTGGCTAATTTTTGTATTTTTAGTAGAGATGGGGTTTCACCATGTTAGCCAGGCTGGTCTCGAACTCCTGACCTTAGGTGATCCACCTGCCTTGGCCTCCTAAAGTGCTGGGATTATAGGCATGAGCCACCGTTCCCAGTCTTGGCAGTTATTTCTTTTTAAAGTATATTACTTGGCAGAAGACACACTCATACTATAATTCTAAATGAAATAGGAAGCACAATATTTTAAAAGTATAGATACTCCTAGACTTATGATAGGATTATGTCCTTAAACACTTTGTAAGTTGAAATTACCATTAAGTCAAAAATGCATTTAATTCAGCTAACCTACTGAACATCATAATTTAGCCTTGCCTACCTTAAACTTGCTCAGAACACATATGTTGTTACCCCACCATAGGGCAAAAATCATCTGGCAACACAGCGTACTGTGGAGTATCATTGTTTACCCTCTTGATTGTGTGGCTGACTGGGAGCTAAGGCTCCCTGCCGCTGCCCAGCAATGAGACAGAGTATCCTACTGCATACAGGAAAATATCAAAATTCCAAATTTGAAGTATGGTTTTACTGAATGTGTATTGCTTTAGCCCCATCTTAAAGTTGATAAATCGTAAGTGGATCCATGGTAAGTTGGGGACCATCTGCATAAAGCTAATCATAAAAAATTAGCAGAATACATAAAAATAAACACTAAAAAATACATCCTAAGGATAGGAATCCTATTAACCTCATACTAACATTATGAGGAAGTAAATAAAAATCACCTGCAGCTATGACTTCATGCAAAAATTTACGATGCAATCAAGTCTATTAAAATATCAAAAATATCAAAAAAATCAGATAAGATATCCCATTTTGCATGTCTCTAACTTCCTACATCTTTCAAAGAGGAGGAAAATTTTTTTTTTAAGTTTAGCATATTTCACAAGTATTCTAAACTGAGTTGCTGAAGCAGTATAAAAATAATTAAACATTATTGCTATTTCACACAGGAATAGCTACGACTTCAGGTGATTTTAATTTTCTTCCTTATAATGTTTTATTTTTTAAAAATAATTATTATAAAACTGTATTACTTTTAATATAAGGAAACAATCCACCATTTTAAAAACATAAGGTTGTCTGGATCCCCCTCAACACTCCATTTTTATCTCCATGAGAATGGGAGGACATGTAACAAAATATCCAAAATCTTTGGCTGACAAGAATATCTTTAAAATTCTTTCCAATTCTCAGATAATGAGAACTGCATAAATTTTAACCAAAATCCAGATCCCAGCTATGCATTTGGTAGGGAACCAGAATATTTAATTGTCACATGACTGCCACATACACAGGTTAACATAATTTTGTGTCAGGTATCCTCATAATTTACCAGTGTCCTAACAGACTAGAAATGAGCCCAACTTATTGTTACACAGTATACATGCAGTGTATTTTTGTTATAAAGTGTGTCTGCACATCATTGTTTGTTTTAAATGTCCATCTGATTGAAACAGGAGGCATGTTCTTGTGTGCAATATGGTACTCATGCTTAGGATGGACAGAGGTTTCAATAGGCGTTAGTAAGCATGTGTAACATAAAGGATGATTGTCAATTATGCACAAGTTTGTACAATTTGCAACAGTTATTTTATTGGCTTGTTTGCTTTAATTTTAAGATTAGTCCATTTGCATATTACCTGAAGGCTCCTATCAGGAACTACTGAAGAGATTTAGAGGATAAAATCTTAAAAGAAAGACTTTCTGGAAGTTGAACAAATAGGAACTTAAGCATTTCTAAAAGTTACAGTATCACTAATATGTAAATACATAATAGTCCTAACCATATTAATTTTTGACTATACAGGAAACAGGTAGGATAAAATTATTAATGTATAAAGGTTATGAAATGTAGTGAAATTCTACATTAATCCACAAGGGGAAAAAAAATGGAGAGAGACAAACTAGACTGCAGATATTTGACAAGTAGGTTACTATTCCCGGCTCTGCTGCCACATTCTATTCTTGAATCATTTTCACTCAACTAATTTACTCATATGTGAAAATAACATCACAACATAAATTAATGATTTAAAAAATTGAGATAGACAGGCCTAAGTATTTCTGAAAAAAATATACCAACCATCTTCATAGCCATAAGTTTCCATTTTGTCCAACTTAACTTTAAGAGCATAAATCAAAAAACAAATCAAGAAGCTAAAATCAAAGTATTAAAATCAGGACACAGCACCAACTTTGTTTTCTTTTCCAGCCTTTACCTTCCGGCTCGTTTTTGATGAGCTCTTCCATTTTCCTCTGCTTCAAGGTGTCAACAACATCAGCTAAACTGCCCTTGCGCCGTTCAGGAGTTCCCAGGGCTGTACTAGACAAGGACTCGCCACTCTGTCGCCCACCTTCTTCTGCCTTCTGAGGTGAGGTAGATGAGTTGTGTGGGGCAAATGAAGACATAACTTTATTGCCATCAACTTCCTGAAAGAGAAAGCAAAAGGACAAATAATTGCTTAAAATTCAGAAACTTAAAAAAAAAATTGGTTATATGGCTTATTCAGCTGAAAGATTGAAAAGTGAAATGTCACGCTGCAAGAGGCAGACAAACAAAGAAACTTCAAAAAAGAATAAATTAAGTTTGCATGGTAGGACTAGAGTAAGTCAAAGATCTATTCAAAGGAGAAATCAAAATTTGGAGATTCTCTCCTTTAAACTGAGTATAAATGACAATATAGTCTTATATGAAGCCTATATTATTAGATTTGTTTATTTTCCTGCTTTTGTTTGAGAGTCTCAGGTTTTCCTATGGGTACTAAATGTAGTGATCATTTGTGTTAAACTTCCTGACTTTGTAATATTTAAACAAATATCATTACACACAATTTATTTTCATTTTCAGTAGCTGCCTCTTCTTGATAAATACTCTAATTAAACTTTTAATTTTCTACCTCCCTCTCCTACTTTTAAGAAAGCATCCATCACATGGGTTATTTGACATCAGACAAGAATATTCCAAGTTCAATTTTGCCAATGCTGAAGACATTTTCAATTTCATTTGTTATATGAAGCACAGTTTCTGTCAATACTCTTTGCTATTTTGTATTTTAATCCTCATTTGCCCTATAAAATAAGGTCTGTTGCAGTGTTTGCTTCTTCATAATCACGTGAGTATGCGAATGAAAATAATTTATTGTACGGTTCTAAAATGTAAATATCCTTTTATAGTCTATTGTCATCATTTTCTCACATATTCTAGCACAACTCTGGTAATTTGTATAATATTTGGGGAATATTTTGTATAAAAGATACTAAGTTGATGTTTTAGAAATTATCAGGAGGAGTGATAATTAAATGATAAAGAAAAATTAATTTTCCTAAAGATTTTCCTTGTATAGTCTCTTACTTCCATAATCCTTTACCTTCCACAAAACAGACATCTTAAACATAAAGCTGTATCCTACGATCTTTGAGTCTCACCCTATTTCTTAATTCTGCAACAGAAATATTTCTTAATTCTGCAACATTAAAAGTTTGCATTAAAATATATTTGAATGTGTGCTTATTTAATATTCAGGATATTAGTTTATACCTGTTTGCACATTTCTTCTCTACTTATTTAAGACACATTAATACAATCTGTTGACTTCCAAAAAGTAACAAATCACACTGATTGATACGCAATGATTTTAAGGTTAATGCAATATTTTTGACTAGCTTAAAAATATGCTAACATACTTGGTTAAAAAACCATCAGTGTAATTTTAAAAAATAGATTAAAAATAGAGATGTCAACACAAACATAATCTGTTAATATGATTTTTTTTTTTTTTTTTTTGCTGTTAGCAGATATTAGTGAGTACAGGGACAACAGGCTATGCTACAAACATCAGTTTGTTGCATGTGGCTGAGGCATTTGGGGAAGGCAAAAAAAAATGCGCAACAGAATCTTCCAAATTATAATTTAAATCTCAAATGGCTTTCATTTCTCACAAACATTACAGAATATGCCTCTGACTAGCACTATGCCTTGAGTGAATATTTTATGGACAAAGTAGCTTATAACACACTTGGATTTAGAAATCAATGTATAAAATGTAACAATTACAAGCTCCTACAGGTTAAGTGAAAGTACACTTCTGGCATTATTAAAATCTACATACATATACAAACACATAAACACACACATACACATACACACCCCTAAAAAGAGCAATCACAAATTCATTCAGTAAATTAATAGGAATGTTTTTATGAATGGCCCATAACACACATTAGCTTAGTTTCATGTGCAAACCAGAATATTGCAAAACATCTGTACTAATTTTCCACAGATCTTTCTTCTCATTTCTTTCCAGGACCAAAAGCAGAAACATCCCAATGTTAGCTTCACTTTGAACCTTTCTCTATCTGTACTCTGCTTTCACATTATATGATGACAAACTTTAGAAACAATAATTGGGGAGCTGACCTTTAATTGTCATAATTGAACATTACAATGAAATCAAGTCTATTAAAATATCAAAAATGTCAAAAAAAAATCCAGATAAGGTATCCCATTTTGCATACCTCTAACTTTCTACACCTTTCAAAGAAGAAAAAAATGTATGTTTTAAAGTTTAGTATATTTCACAAGTATTCTAAGCTCAGTTGCTGCAGCGGTATAAAAATAAATTAATTAAACATTATTGCTATTTCACACAGGAATATTTATCTTATCAGTATTTCACCTGCCTGATTACATTTCAGCCTCTGGCACTGTTAATCTCCTTAACAGTTTTATGTAGTTAACAGCTGTTTGAGCGTGGGACTCCATTGTTCATTTGCATGGTGAATAGCTTGTTAAGGAGTGGTAGCACAGTCTTCAGTCAAGGAAATCCTATCTTTTTCAGAGCTCCTTCCCTGGGATTGCATTTGTCATACGTGAAGTAATGATTCCATGTTTCACTTCACTTTGCTGGCAGGTGAAATCAAGAGAACCAGCTAACATAGGCATAAGTGGTCCAGACCAGCAATATCTATTTAATCAAGTTTTGTGAATTCTAAGGGCATACCAGCACTTCGCAAACAAGTTCCCAGAACTGTGATATACGACCTCTAAAGTCTAATCATAAAAGAGGTTTCTCAACTTTCAGAATAAAGTTGATAATCTTCCTTTGTTATTTTTGAACAAGGTTTGCTTAATCTTACCCCTTTTGTTATCTTTGCAACCAATAGAAAAAGAGTCTGCCTAACATATGTATTCTCATTAAAATATCTTTTTAAAACTGAATTCTTGTTAATTCATTTTAAAGACAGAATATTGCTATGAAGACGTTGAAAGAAATACTATTTCCACCTTAATATTTAAACTCTAATTTACATGATGAGATAATTAAGAAGAATTAACTCATTTTATAAAAGAAGAGATTATATGAAATAACCAGATGCATGTGTTTCTTTTATTATTCAAATGACATTTCATCCTTGACTTCTGGCCTTAAGAAACATATTATTATGCTTACTTCTTGGCCTTATAAACTGAAATTAAGCTCATGCTTAGAAACATTACATTAATATTCCAATCTATCAGACAGTAATTGATAAGAATGATAGCAAATATGTATTGAATACTTTGTGTTAGGCACGGCTTAAAGTGCTTTACATGTATTAACTCAATTCTCATGGCAAGCCTAATTATAATTTCCATTTCATAGCTGGATAAACTGAGGCGGAGAGACTGAAGCACAGTATATGCTGAAAGTCACATGACTGCCAAAAGGTAGCGTGAAAAATCAGCCCCAACCTATTGGGCTCCAGAGCTCTCATGGACAAAGCCCTTATGGACAAAGTAGCTTATAGCATACTTGGATTTAGAAATCAATGTTATTATACTTCTTTCATCTATGTCTGTATCTAACAATGTTATGGGTGAACAAGACATTTGTCTTTTTAATAAGTATGAAAATGAGAGGTTTCCACTGCAATATGTTCAAGTCCTAAAGAAAACAAATGAGCTATATGTGTTTAAATTAATTAAATCAACCACATTCTAGACTTATAAAGGCTCTTAGTCCATCCAAATATCCACTGGTTTATATCATATTTTTTAAAATAAATTTTAATGTTTAAAGAATTATTTAAACCAAATAAATAGATTGATATTTCTACATGACAAATCAAGAGTAATGGTACTCAGTAGTCTGTTTTTGTAACTAATCTTTATAAAATTTGTTGAGCATCTCCAGCATTCTTTCCAGTAAAATTAAGTTTTGAAATTAGAAAAAAGCTAGTACAGAAAGATCTGGACTATCATCAATTAGATTCTCATGAATGCATGTCCAGTAATTTGGGTACTGTAGCAGAGATAGCATAAGATGAACTACAGATACACAGAAGGATGCTTTGGTGGCTCAATAAGTTTTGATACAGTCATGTTCCTCTTTCCAGCAGCGGGTCGTGATTTATAAAATATTACCAGGAATTGCTGGGCATGGTAGCTCACCACCTGTAATCCCAGCACTTTGGGAGACCAAGGTGGGCAGATCACAAGGTCAAAGATCGAGACCACCCTGGCCAACATGTGTGAAACCCATCTCTACATAAAATACAAAAAAATTAGCTGGGCATGGTGGCACATGCCTGTAATCCCAGCGTAATCTGACACCTGGAGGCAGGGAACTCGCTCGAACCCACAAGGCAGAGATTGCAGAGAGCCCAAGATCGCGCCCACTGCACTCCAGCCCTGGCACTAGAGCTAGACTCCGTTTACCCCCCCCCAAAAAAAAAAAAAGAAGAAGAAGAAATCACCCAGGATTAGGTAAAACAAAACTTCAAAAAATATCTTAAAAGCTATAATATTTGACTTGTGGCTTAAATTCATCAAAAGAGGATAAAATATACCTTATTCTCAAATGTTGAAACTAAATTTCACTACTTGTAATCTCTTCTGCCAAATTAGGAGTTACCAAATTGAATTTAGTTATAGAAAAAATGTAACCATTGTCTAAAGAGCTCTTCCAATTATTTTTCGAGTTATCTTGATTAAAATAATTTTTCATAAAATGTCTGCCATGAAACCCTAAACCACACATTACTCTTTGGACTACTGATCCCTTGAAGATAGCTATAAATGCTATTTTAAACACATATGCACATGCATAAACACACACTCATGGTGATTGCACACATAATTTCCGTTAAAGTTTTACAGAGTTAACTTTATATGTTCATAGTTCCAGTTATGAACCTCCTCCAGGAAATTCACTATGAACTCTTATGAACCATGGATTCCAGGTTAAGGAATGTATACCTGATCTAAATGTATACCTTCCCAGAAAAATAATATAAGCTCATCAATATAGACAATTAGGTGGTTTTAAAAAACCAGTTGCCTGCAAAAAAACAAGAAACAAAAAAAAACCTTATCAAGATAAAAGTGTATCTTTTATCAAGATAAATGTTTATCTTTTATCAAGATGAAAGTTTATTCATCTTTTATCAAG